AAAATTACTATCTTCCAAATCCTCGTTCACAACCGGATCATCGGGGTTAACTTGCCCCTCCTCCACATCATCCTATTCGGATGTGGGCTCGACGGGGGCTTCGGGGTCTTCAGCGTCCTCTAGAGTGTTACTTTCTCCGGTGCCAGTGTTGCTGTCTTTGCCACAACGCAATTTTGAGCGGCGGCGCTGGCATCGACGCTTCGGCGGTGCCTCATCAGGTCTGTCCTCCATCGGAACCTTCCTGTCTGCATCGTCATCCTCTTTGGGTGTATCCACCATATACACGTCATATGTGGAGGTGGTCGTCCACCGTCCAGTAAACGGCAGGTCTTGGCCTTGTGCATCTCCGGCACCGTCGTCCATGCCGTCGATGTCTTCGGAGGTGTAATCCAGCATGTCGGTTAAGTCCTCGACAGTGGCTATGAAGTGGGTGGTGGTTGGGATGTAAAATTCCCTACTCTCAGCCCTAGTCCGGGCTGGGCATAGTTCGGAGGCGATTCCTCTGTAATGGTGAGGGACCACATCAAGTCTAGAGCCTCGTTTAAGAGCGAGGGTTGGACGGGGAAATGAGAGTCCGCAGGGCTGGCCAGGACAAAGGCCTCTTGGCCATGCTTGCTGGGCGCGGGCTTCGAGAGTTCAGAGCTAGAGTCCGGGGCGAGTCCGGCCTCTCAATGAAAGCACCAATGTTGGTGTCAAAACCGGCCGATCTCGGGTAGGGGGTCCCGAAATATGCGTCTGAGGATAGAAAGTAACAGGAGACAATGGGGACATGATGTTTACCCAGGTTCGGGCCCTCTTAATGGAGGTAAAACCCTACGTCCTACTTGATTGTATTTGATGAGTATAGGGGTTACAAGAGTTGACCTACCTCAAGATCGTAATGGCTAAACCCTAGATGTCTAGCCTATATGAATTTTGATAGCCTCTACAGACTAAACCCTCCGGTTTATATAGACACCGGAGGGGCCTAGGGTTGTACAGAGTCGGTTTACAGAGAAAGGAAAATGCACATCCGGATATTTAAGCTTGCTATCCACGCAAAGGAGAGTCCCATCCGGACATGGGGGGAAGGTCTTCTGCCTTGTATCTTCATGGCCCATCAGTCCGGCCCATATCAAATAGACCGGTAACTTTAAGACCCTTTAGTCCAAGACTCCCTCACACGGGCCCTCGCCTCTATAGCACCCCCGTGCGCACGGGCGTGTACCATGCGCACGGGCCTCTTAGGTTTCGGTCATTGACACCCTTTCTTGCCTGCCAAGTCGTACCCTTCCTCCCTCTAGCTATGTATTTTGGGTCTTAGACATTTGTTAGGGTTAGCAATGTATATGTGAGACATTGATAGAGCTTTGCTCCTTCTACCACTCCTCTTGGATATCTAGACCTCTTAGGATAGGGTCCCATGTGGATATCAAGACCTCTTCTTGGAGAAGACTACCATCAAGACCTATCCTCCTTAGGAGTGGGAAGAACCTTACCTTTGTGCTTGTTTCCTTGGATTGATCTCATATTCTTCTGGATCTCAACTATGCTATTCTAGTGGATGTGTGATTGGGTTTTTACTTGAGTGAATTTCCTCTTTGTGTTCTTGTGTTCATCCTCTTTTCCCCTCCATGTGTGAAAAGACCCACTACAAAAAAACTAGTAGAATGCCCGTGCGTTGCCACGGGCATTTCAAAAAATTTACTAGTTGCATATGTAAGCATAAGAGAATCTATAGCCATGCATCCCAAAAAAATATTGGTTGCATATACAAGCCTCAGAGCATCTACAGCCGGGCATCCCAAACCCTGCCCCAAACGCTTGAGCGGACGGCCCGGTCACTGACCGACAAAAAACAACCCACCCGGGCGCCACAAACCGCCCTGACCGGCACCCCTCAGATCCAACCCACAAGTAAGGCAGATATGGGGTACACACACGTTAGACCCGACCCACACCAACCCCACTCGTCCACACACAAAAAAATCTAATCCCCAGAATCCGAGAACCCTAACTTAGTTCACTCCGCTCTCGCGCTGACTCTTCTTCTCCCTCTACTCCGATTTCTTCAATTTCGATCCACTCCGACAAGCATGTCGTGTGCCGGCAGCCGCTCCGACTGCGACCTTGATGTCGACGAGGAGTTGGCCCTTTGCATTGCCTTCCATATGTCCAGGGTGGACACAGGGGGCAGTTCCGGATCTGCAGCCTCGCCTCTCCCTAGCCGGTGCAACGCGGACACAGGAGCTGGCCCCTGCCTGCCCACGCGCAGCTTCGCAAGGGTAGAGGTCGGTGCTTGTGCCCGCCCCGCCGTCCCGGACGCACATGCCAGAATAGGAGGTGTGCGCCGCCCGCCGCGAGAAGTAGTGTGCAAGGGAGAGGGACGTGACAGAGCAATCCATGTGTCGCCACTGCGGGTAGCCGGCGAAGCACGGTGAGGATGAGCGGCTCCTTGCTTGGGTCTACCACTGGTCGCCTATGATGGAGGAGACGGACGCTCAGCCGCTCCATCGGAAGAACACCGCAGTAGCAGCACAAGGCGGTGAAGGCAATGGTGGAGGCGGCTCGCGGAGCTCAAGCAGCAGTAGGACAGGGTTATCTGACGGTTCAAGGGCCCATCGCCCTCTGACTACATCAACGACCAGGGTGCCTCGTCTGATAACTCGGACAATCCTCCACCAGCCGCAACGCCTACAGCTATGTCGTCAGACCAAAGGGGAAAGGGCCAGCAAGGAAGTGGTGAAGATCCACCTTCTCCACTTTAAATCCAAGTTTTTAAATGTAGTTTAAACTTGTCCGTCATTTATGTGCATTATGTGAAATTTGGCGATCTTCGGTGAATGGATAGTGCATTTCTATATTCGATTGTATGTCCATTTCATAATCTACGTAGTTTTATCGAGGTTGCATGGTTGCATAGTTCTATTGAGGTTGCATGGTTTAGTATTGGATAGGAGATACACGGACGTGGACGTCGATTTTTGAGGACTGACCGGATTTGCCAAGTCCGGCTATAGGTGCTTTACGGCACGTCAAATTTCCAGTTTGGCATAAAAAGTGACTGTAGTCTAAATTTTTTAAGCCTTGCAATATCATTATCCTTGTTGAATCAAATTAGGCACTATATAAATCTACAAAAAAACTCACTACCTAAACTGCATAATAACCTGAAGAAAAAATTGCTTAGTTATTATGACAATCTAGCTTGTAAAAATATGATAGCCAGGATAATCACCTAGGTGTTTTAATATTTCAAAGCAAAAAACACCAACAATAATGAGGCACTTAAGAAATCACAATATATATCCTTCCTAATAATCAGATCTAGTGGGAAAACTCCTAGCCAACGGTGTGCACATAATAGAAACAACAATGTCTTCCTACAATTGCTAAATAATCATCGGAACCTAAGATGACTTGGGGCTTCAGGATCCTATAGTATACATACATGATCGAGGACAAAGAACATCAAGGTGGTTCCAACGTAGGATTTGTATGGATCGGAAGGGAGTTTAGCGTGCCCGCCTCCCACCTGTCAGCCACAGCTAAAGGAAGCAACATACATAGTTATGTTGTTTTCTAGAACCTTCGCTTGAACAATCAAAGGAGAATGTAGGACCTGACAACAATGTAACTGCACTGAGAAAAGAACTTTCCTCTATCCCTCGCCCACAAATTGCAAATCAGGGCAATCAAAATGGGAGACTTAAATTATTGACATGATATATCAGACCTTTTAGAAGCTTTGTGGTAACAAAGCTGAAAAGATGGAGATGTAGTCGGTTCATTGTTAGACTCATTACTAATAATAACAGAGATGTGTAAAAAGAGAGGCTACCTACAGTCCCCATATCTTTGTCTGATTTACCTGAACAAAGGCTACATAAGGAAATATACCAACGCAGAATCGATGTGCACCTCCTTCGTGCAGAGTTTCTACTTTCTAAAAATGGAGAGCAGAAAGAAAAGCAGATTGTTAGATACCAATCAACCTTTCATTATGTAGGAGTAGAGATGTATGGAAATATTAATTAATAGGAAATTGCCCATGCGTTGCAAGGGGGTAATAAATTTGTTGTGGTGCAACATTGACTATGTCAAACATATATCTTTACGAGGATCAACATGCACATCAGACAACCTATTTTAAAGGAACATAGCCAACCTTTTTGCTAATTTAAGTACAAAAAAGTAGTAATAGGGTAAAGTCAAGAACAAGAAGTATGAGTATCTTGATATAATTTCAGTAGTAGTCAAATTTTAAGTGCAAGGGGATATTTCAATAGCTCCAGAAAAATTCAGTACGGGTGAAAAAAAATCAATATTCTCATAGAAGTGTTTGCATGAATATGAAAGAAAACAAAATGACAAGGTACATCATGTTATAATCCACCTTGAAGGTATGAACACAAATAATAAATTATATGTCATGAACTCATGATTCCACGATAATAGAAAAAGGAAAAGAATTATTTCTTTGTCACCATTGTAAAACTATTCAGAAACTACTCCATGCCAGGAACCTAGTATGCAAAGCAAGCTAGGAGCAACAAAATATACAGTGTTTTTTCATTAAGTAGTGTGGGGGGAATTCCCTCAAAAGAAAAGTGATGAGGAAGTTCCGGGAATGTCAAGAATCCAGCTTGGATTTACATTAGCAAAGACTTACAGAAATTAATTTATACCCTCCGATCCATATTAATTGTCATTGATTTCATACAAAATTAGTACATGCTAAAATATACTACATGATAGATAGATTCTTATGGACACCATCATATGAATAGGCTTGTGATGTACTACCTTAGTATACTCTAACTACAGATATATGCTATTGTGATGAGAAGCATGCATTGCATAAAAAGCTCTGCCTAGTGTCTACACTTCCTTTTCCCATTTTCTTCAATTACACGAGACAACAAATAAAAATATCACTCTGACAGGATCGTATATGCTACTGTACGGCTTACTTCTTGGATTAGGCCGCACAGTCGGAGGGCAGTGCTAGTGCGTGGACGTCAGGCCAACTTGTTGGTGGATTTATGGCTCTTCTTTGTGAAGTTTTTGATGGACATGCAGTCAAGATGCATCTGTCCATATGTGCCCCTGGGACCAGACTTCCTTCCATCAAATACTGCCTCCTTTGATAGAGCAAAGTTTGCAGCCTGCAAGTACCAAATAAAACAAACAACCCATATTGGCATAAGTAGTTTCCTAGCTAGCTAAAATTTGCCACGGAACATGCATCTACCATCGCTGAACCATAGACAGGTCAAGTGGCAGATTGATTTAATTAATCACCGTCTAGCTGGTTTAACTAACGAATCAACTATAACTCGCGATGAGATAATATGGTTTAGCTAAAGAATCAGCATGTAGCAGGTTGAGTTGATCATCAAACAAACAGCAGACTCGTCATGTAGTGGAAATACTCCCAAATCTTGTTCTAAAAAAATCAAGAAACACAAGTACCATAATCATCATCATGATTTGGATAGATGTGGTCCATGTGGACAATTTTGCAGAAAAAAATTATACAGAAATTCACATGGATTAGAAATCAAGCTACAAATGTGAACTGAAAACCAAACCGTGTTGTCCATCTCGAGGAGGCGTAGGAGGATGGCAGACTCATTCGCGTACTCTATTTGCCCAGCAGTGGAACCCCAAACCATCCCAGCGACCAGCCTGTCCATTTTCAACAAAAAATTTCCCAGAATCAAGGTACGTCCTGCCTTGCCATAGGCAGAGCTTCGCTCGTCCCTGCAAGAGTTACTGGGGCTGCTCCAAGATGATCTTCCCGGCGCATCCAACCTTGTTTGCTAGAACAACCAGAAGTCTGCCAGATTGGTGATCCTCCCGTGCATGATGCCCATGAGAGCTGATCGTGGCGATGTCTGACTGGGTCGCACAGACTCGCGATAGAGATCTCCTCCAGTTTAACAGGTTGGCTCCATCTCACCGGTGAGTGTGCGAGAGGGAGGGAAAGAAAGGCTTCGACGGCGGCGAGCGTGAGATCACGGGAGAAGGAGTCGGTGGTGGTGGCGGCCGCATGAGCGAGAGAGAACAAGGGAGGGCGATGGGTGCATGAGAGAGGGGGCTTTGCTTGGATGCAGTCATGCCGGTGGTGGCGGGATCTGATCTGGTGTAAGCAAAAAACTAGAGCGAAGAGAGGGGGAAGAAAACGGTATGGGAGGGCGGACGAGAGCACTTTTCTCGTGTGCGGGAGGGGGACGATCGACGAAGGGAGGCAGGACGCGGTCCAGGAAAAGGAATGCTACGTGTTTTTAGGTAGTAGAGATGTGATTGAACGAATTGTTAATTAATTTTGATTTGGTCTACAAAGATTTATTGTGATTGATTCTTTCGCATATAAAGACATTACTAAATAAGTTGCACCTGCATAGAAAGTTCTGATCTGTTTATATTTTTCCGATTGTGTGAGAGGTGATGTGAAAATAAATCAGTGGGAGGGGTGTTGGGAGGGGGACAAAAAACCCAGCAAAAGTGGTGGACAAAAATAAACCATGGAGGCTATTCACCAACTCGGACATTAGGAGTAGAGATACACATCTATGAAATTTTGGCCAAACGAAAATAAATTATGTCATGGTTATGACACTCCTATGACGATAATTGTGACAAAAACACGTATCATCATAGATGTGGTGGGCTCCTACTTCTATGACAAAATAGCATGACAGAAAATGGGATTTTCATCCTAGGTGGGCCGGGGACGCACCTGCATGACATTCTTTGGGCCATCCATGATATAAAAAATCGTGGTAGAAGTGAGGGCGAGGAAATTTTCACGGAGTTCCCGGTTACGGTGGGTGGTCAGGCCGAGCGATGCAGTGTGGTTTGCGTGTTTCTCTCGTACACACATGTGGTGCGAGCCGTGTCGCTATGACTGAACCCGAGCGAGAGGCATTCACTTATTGAACCTGAGTGATTGCCTGCTGCTACATACTGAAGTCGATCGATCGATCCCTTTGCTGCTAACTTAACCCGGCCGACTCCTTCGCTACTAACTGAACCCGATTGATCGCTATTGCTCCTTACTGAAGTCGATCAAACCCTCGTGTGTGAGATGTAGCTAGCCGGTTGGGTTGCCTCTGGATGAACAGTGCATGTTGCTTCCGCACACGCTATACGTAGAACGAGTCGAGACGTGGCGAGTCGAGCCGATTGGGTTGGCTGTGGATGAATAGTTCTTGGTGGGGGTTCGATGAACAGGACCCCGGCCGTGTGTAGGCGGTTGGCGTTGGATGAACAGGACTCCGCTGTAGTACGCGGTTGACACTGGATGAACAGGACCCCGAGGAGGCCGCCACACACCGCAGCCGGTTGGGGGTTGATGAACACGACCCCGTGGAGGCTGGTTGAACTGTAGCCAGTGGAGGCTGTATGAACAGTAGTCCATGGATGAATAGTGGCTGGTGGAGGCTGGGAGAGGTTGATGGTGGACGAACAGTAGTAGGTGGAGGCTGGAGGAAGTCGACAGTGGATGAACAGTAGCCCGTAGAGTCCTGTTTTGTGGTACGCCACTCCCCTCCCGATGAACAGGACCCCGTTTTGAACATAGGAGGTCAAAGAGAAGTCAGTTTCCTCCGTTTTGTGGTATGCCAGACCCCTCCCGATCAATAAGACTCCCTTTCGACTGTAGGAGCTCGAACAGAAGTTTGTTTCCTCCGTTTTGCGGTACGCCGGACCCTTCCCAATGAACAGGATCTCGTTTTGACCGTAGGCGGTCGAACAGAAGGTCGTTTCCTCCGTATTGCGATATGCCAGACCCCGTTTCGGCTATTCTATCCAAGTCGGTTGGCTTCCATTGAACAGGACACTTCCAGCTATCAGGGAGGATAAGGAGACACTTCCTTGCGTGGAAAGATATAGATGATGGGTCCAAGCTGTCAGCGGGAGGATTCATTTTTTGCGCATAATAAGGAGGCACTTCCTTGCGTGCGAAGATGTAGCTGGTGGGCCCAGTTGTCATCCTCACCGCGTATAGTCCTCTTTCGATGGCTGTCGTTTGTTTACCACGTTAACCACGCCGCGCAAACAGCACCCAGGTGGTGGAAAACGGTGAGGTAGGGAACGACATGGAGCCTGGGAACACACGGAGGGTAGTATGAGGGTTGACTTGTCCGGCTGTAGTGTGAGGCTACCGTCACCGCAGAATAACAAGGGGTGTGGGTGAGTAGAGGAATGGCCTGGCCAGCGATGGAAGTAGGAGGGGCGGTGACGCCTGTGCGGCAGCACAGCCGGCCACGGGAGGCAGGAGCACGCGGTGGTTTGGATGGCTAGAGTAAGAAAATCAGAGGTTGAAGAAGTAGGACGACCGTTGGATGTTAATAACCCAACGATCACTGCTGATATAATCATTTATTGACTCAGTTGACAAAGCCTACATACGCGTCAACATAGTAGGGCCACAAGTCAGCCTCTAAATCTGCTGGGCCCCAGTTGTCATGGGGAGCAACCATTATTTTTCGCTTAATAAGGAGGCACTTCCTTCTATGCAAAGTTAAGCTGGTGGGTCCCAGCTATCATGGGGAGGATTCATTTTTGGGAATAATAAGGTGGTACTTGCTTGCATGCGGCCATGGACCATGTGGGTCCCAACTGTTAGCCTCTCCACGTACATCCCTCTTCTGATGTTGTCTTTGTTGACAATGTTGACCATGCTGTGCCGAGAACACCAACGCAGTGGGTGACGACAAGACCCAAGAAGGGAATGAGCCGGAGGCGGCGAAGCCACATCAGTGCAGGGATGTGGGTGAGTAGAGGGATGGCCTGGCCAATGATGGGAGTAGTATGGGATGGTGAGGCCCGCGCAGCAGCACAGCCGACCATGGGAGGTGGGAGCGGGTGGTCCCGTCGGTGCTAGATTTGGCGGCTGGAGCAAGAAGTTCAGAGATTGAAGAAGCACGACGGTCGTTGGATTGACATCCAACGGTGACTTCTGCTAGAATCGTTTGTTCACTAATATATAATAAGTAAAAAATCTTGCATACGTGTCAACTTAATAGGCCCACAAGCCATCCCATTTCTTATTTTTCTAAATAATTTACAGCTCATTTGCAACTTCTTATGCAATTTATTGCACTCCATTTTCTTTTGGTTGGCCAGGGCCAGGGTTAAAAATTTAATCGAAATTTCGCATATTTCGGTGGGGTTCAAACTATTTTTAATACTGAAATGTCAAGCCAGATTTAAAGTACTTTCAAGATATATTTAAATTAGGTTAAAGCCCAATGAAATTGGAATCTAAAAATGTGAAAAAATCGGAAATTTGAAAGCAATTGCCAATTTGTGATGTGTTTTTCATATTTACAGCCCATTTCATATTACTTTTAAGATTTGCAGTCATCTTGAAAGAGTTGTAGCCCAGCAAGGCAAAGAAAAATAGCTGGGTTGGTCATGTGGTGAACGTAAAATAAAAGCCTCGGGTAGACAGGCCACATCCCAGTTGAAACCCTCCTCCGTCTCAACAATAACAACAAAAATATTGCTCGAGCAGCTACGTCCCAGGTGTCAGCTGCTCTTGTGCAGTTCTCTTGTCCATTGACTATACGATGACAATATCGTGGGTCCCAGATGTCAGGAAACCACTAGGAGGAAGCATTTTCTTTTTCTATACGCTGACAATGGAGTATTGATGTCTACTACGCAACTCTATTCTTGTAGACACGTGTTGGGCCTCCAAGCGCTGAGTTTTGTAGGACAGTAGCAATTTTCCCTCAACTGGATGACCTAAGATTTATCAATCCATGGGAGGCGTAGGATGAAGATGGTCTCTCTCAAGCAACCCTGCAATCAAATACAAGAAATCTCTTGTGTCCCCAATACACCCAATACAATGGCAAATTGTATAGGTGCACTAGTTCAGCGAAGAGATGGTGATAAAAGTGTAATATGGATGGTAGAAATATATTTTTATAATCTGAATAAATAAAAACAGCAAGGTAGCAAAATAGTAAACGGGTACAAAAATGGTATTGCAATGCTTAAAAATGAGGCCTAGGGTCCGTACTTTTGCTAGTGCAATCTCTCAATAGTGCTAATATAATTGGATCACATAACCACCCCTCAACGTGCAACGAAGAATCACTCCAAAGTTCTTATCTAGCGGAGAACATAAGAAGAAATTGCTTGTAGCTATTCTTTCCGATCGATCTATCCAAGAGTTACACCAAGTTATTCTGTCGATCGATCGATCAAGAGTCCATACTAAAATAACACCAAGTTATTCATTTCGATCGATCTATCAAGATTTCGTACTAAAATAACACCAAAGCAAATTCAGATTCATAATACTCAATCGAACACAAAGAACTTCAAAGAGTGCCCCAAGATTTCTACTAGAGAAACAAAATACGAGAACGTGCATCAACCCCTATGCCTAGATTACCCCAATGCCACCTCAGGAATCCGCGAGTTGAGTGCCAAAACACATATCAAGTGAATCAATTTGATCCCCCATTGTCACCATGGGTATTCATATGCAAGACATATATCAAGTGCTCTCAAATCCATAAAAAGTATCCAGTCCGATAAAACGAAAACTCAAAGGGAAAAATCAATTCATCACAACAAGATAGAGAGGGGAAAACACCATATGATCTGACTATACTAACAAAGCCCGCGATTCGTCAAGATCGTGCCATCTCAAGAACACGAGAGAGAGAGAGAGAGAGAGAGAGAGAGAGAGAGAGAGATTAAACACATAGCTACTAGTACAAACCCTCAGCCCCGAGGGTGGACTACTCCCTCCTCATCGTGGTGGCCGCTGGGATGATGAAGATGGCCACAGGAGATGATTCCCCCCTCCGGCAGGCTGCCGGAACGGAGTCTAGATTGGTTTTCGGTGGCTATAGAGCGTTGAGGCGGCGAAACTTCTGATCTAGCTTAAACCCGAGGGTTTTTGGATATTTGGGATTTTATAGTGCAAAGAGGGGGTGCAGAAGGCCACCGAGGTGGGCACAACCCACCTGGGAGCGCCTGGGCCCCCAGGCGCGCCCTGGTGCGTTGTGCCCCCCTTGGGGAACCCCCCAGGTGCTGCTCTGGCCCATCGGGAGTCTTCTAGTCCATAAAAAATCCACAAAAAGTTTTGTGGT